CCGTATTAATCATGTTAACTATTTAAATATATTTTTGCTACTTACCCCTTGGTAATTATTGAGTAGTTTTCCTATGCCATCAAGAAAACGAGAAAAAGGTTATATTCACTAATAATAGTAATAAATCTTCGGTGTATTTACCCTATTACAATTGCTTTAAGTTGAAAAGCGAAAGACGTACTCTAAGATTCTATTTTAAAATCTTAATTATCAAGTGATACTCTATACAGCTGTATTGTTCTTACGCGGTTTGCACTTGCTTACGCTCCTGTATATCAATGGGTTAAATGAGACGATATTTAACATAAATTCTGCAATTTTAGAAAGATATATTACATTAAATATTTATTACATAGAATATTATATTTGTATATTATAATAATTCGACCCAATTATAAGAGGCACTTTATAGTGTTTTAATAATGACATGATGTGCACGCGTTTATATGCAATATTTAAGCATACATGTAATGGGTTTTTATTAGGGAGATTTTTTTATACACTTCATATTTGTATTTATTTTTTACATATTGAATTATGATGTTAACCAATTGATATACGAACAAGTGCAAACCAGTCGCGTAAAAACAATAAAGCTGAATAGTCACCTGATAATTAAAAATTTACAAAGAATCTTATAGTGCGTCAAATAATTTGGCTAGAGACTGTAAATCTTAAGATAATTTCGAATAACTACGAAGTCTGCAAATAATGCAAGATTATTTAAAAGTTAATAAAATTGAACAATCCACTACAGTTGATTCACTGAATCTAAAACTTTAAATCAGGACCCTTTAACACCATAGTGAAAAACTATGTTTCCAAACTCTTCCTGAGATATATTCATATAGGAATAGTTTTCAATCAGCATTATTAGTTGCCTAGCCACAAATAAGAAAAACTTACTTCCGCTAAAATTTTCTTCACTGCCCTACAGCATCGACAATTTGGTTCTATAAAAAGAATTTTCACCGGTGCAACTTCTGGGAATATTTAAGAGAAAACTTCTCCACAATCATCAGACTATACTTACCAGTTCATCATTCTTATAGAATTTATTTGTATTATCAACTCTAGAAATTATAGATTAAATGAGTTTCATCAATTATGGAAGCAATGTTGCATTTAACAGATTGCTGATTCCTTCGTTAAATGTTTTTGAACAAACACTTCATGTTACCATCGATTGCATTCATTTGAAATAAATCTAAATTTACCAGATAGAATTTTAAATAAAAGTTTACTTTTTGAGATGGGGGGGGAGGGGGAAGGAAGACTGGGTCCAACGTAAAAATAAATGACCTTTAGGAAGCATTTTTCAGTAGGATCCGAAACAGATCATTTGATGGCCAAACAGTTTTTTTCCCCATTATTTATTTTGGTATACAGGTTAGCACAGAATGTCGTAATTAAATGGATTTACAGTTTGGCTGAAAAGATATTATTTTACTGAATAAATAATTCTCAAAAAATCAATATTAAACAATAGATATGAACATAACAAATATTTATTGTCATAAATAAAGCAATTTTCAAGAAGTAATTATAATACAAAACTTTTTTGGAACAAAACTTCGTAAAACAAAATAAAATGAATTTTGCAAAAAATAAAACAAATTTTAAGCAAACTTAAGTAAAGTTTTGTTTAACAAAATATGCAACTTTTTAAGAAGTATACAAAAAAATAAAATATAATTTTGCAATAGCAAAAGTAAACAAACTTTGCAGAAGTGCATACAAAATGTAATTAATTTTAAGATGAAGTAAACAAAATTTTGTTTCACAAACTAAAAACTTGCTTTTAGAACAGAACTTTATGAAAGCAAACTTTGCTTTAATGAAATAAAATAAAATACATCTAAATTTTAAGTACAAACAAAGAAAATATTCGTAATGAAAGGTAATTTCGATTACCTAATAACAAAACAAATGGGACAAAATATTCGATGTATATTAAGTGAAAATAAGTACCAAACAGGTACGCCATAATCAAAATAACACAAATCAATATATTTGCAACGTAAGAAATATGATTTCAAATAAAATAACTTACTAAGTTATAACGCATTAAGCGTAAAATTGATATTGAATTTTTAAGTTTGTGTCAGAGACACTGCATTAGACAGTTAAATAAATTTCTAAAGATAAATTATGAAAAGAGATGTAATTATTAAAAAGAGGAGTGAATCTAAAAAATTGCCAGCTTAATTACATACCACTACCACAAAAAATACTATAAAGATAATAAATGCCTTAAAAAACTATATGATATCGTTATTTACAGTTCTTTGAAAGAAATATTAGATAAATATTCTAATAAAATATTAGATGTATATTAAGTGAAAATAAGTACCAAACAGGTACGCCATAATCATAATTTAGACTAATCAACATATTTGCAACGTAAGAAATATGATTTCATATAATATAACTTACTAAGTTATAACGCATTAAGCGTAAAATTGATATTGATTTTTTAAGTTTGTATCAGAGACACTGCATTAAACAGTTAAATAAATTTCTAAAGATAAATTATGAAAAGAGATGTAATTATTAAAAAGAGGAGTGATTCTAAAAAAATGCCAGCTTAATAACATACCACCACCACAAAAAATACTATAAAGATAATAAATGCCTTAAAAAACTATATGATATCGTTATTTACAGTTCTTTGAAAGAAATATTCTAATAAAATATTCGATGTATATTAAGTGAAAATAAGTACCAAACAGGTACGCCATAATATTAATTAGACTAATCAACATATTTGCAACGTAATATGCCACCACAAATACTATAAAAGTAATAAAGATAGCAAAGATAATAAGAAGTAACTAACAATGTACATAAAGTTAGTAACTTAATGGTTATTATTAACAATTTAAAAAAGCATTATAAGCAAACTTGTAGACACATAAAACTTTTTTCTAAGGTTAAGAACATATTGTAAATATATGTTTGAATTATGTGTTATCCTCTTCAAGTTTTATCTTCAAGAAGGATTTTTTTTTTTTTTAAGTTGATAAATTTAGCTTATTGGGTTCTCTTCAAATTCCTGTAAGACTTCTTTTAACAAATGTTTTGGTTTCAACGTAACTTTTGTTATAAAAAAACAAATTTATCGTTTTTGTAGTACTGACTGGATCATTACTGAGATAAGCATTTTTACAGTTCGAATAATCAATCACTGTCGTCTTGATCAACACAAAATCATTAGGGTTAAGAGCTGTTTTTTTACCCACCTCCGCAGCAGAGCCATCCTAGGATGTTTCTTTATTATACATTGTTTGTAGATTAGATTCCGCAGTTTCGCATGTCAAAGCTGTTGGATCTCTTAAACAATATTCTTAGTGCGTGATCTAACCAGAACAGTCTTGATTTAGCATTTCGATTGTAATGGGTTTAGTTTTTGTTTTATAGTAGAGTTTCATAATTTCATTTATTCGTATATCTTCAAAAATTATATTTTTAAGCATTTTGTCTAAAAATATAGAATTAGTTTTCTTGCTGCTTTCCGTGTTTCCATGACTTGCTGCCACATAAGGGCAAACATTTAATTGTAGCATAAAAATTTTTAACTTGTGAACATTTTAATTCGATTTTATCCAAATTCATTGCAGTTTTCTAAAAGTATATTATGCATATTTGTTTCTTTGTGTGATCTTTTCAATTGTACCTGTCACAGTAGTTTTGCTTACTCTAAGGCAGTTAAAGTGGATTGTTTGTTCATTTCCATTTATAAATCAGATATCATTTTTAAAGCTATTAATTCCTAGCATTTTGATCTTCTCATTAATTTGTAATCCAACTAGATCTTCACTGTTGCTGTGCCCTCCTGTCAATTTGTTTCGGTTTTAATTTCCACCGGTTTGAAAGAAAACTATACCATACTGTCTGCTTAAGCATGATCTTCTACATTTTCTCCGAAATTACAAATTTCCTTTCGTCTTTTAGTGTGGATAGCGCTATCCAGTAAATGACTACATTAAATGACATTCCAGATACTATGCAGATCTGCTTGATTCCAGTTTTGATGATAAAACTGCTCTCTTGTACTATTTACTAAAACTTTCACATTAATATTTTCTTATAGTGTTTATAAAAAATATATTTTTATGGAATACACATACATCTTGAGCATTTTACAAAGTCATTCTAGATTGTGCCTTGGAAAAATCTATGAAATTGATGCATAATGTTCAATTGTATTCAATGCAATGTTCAATGATGTCTCTTAGCGTAAGATATTTGATTCAGTGAGCCTAGTCCTCTTCTGAAGCCTTCTTCGTCAGCCCTACAGCAGGCCAAGACTTTCTCAATTAGCTGAGCTAGATTTTTCCACCCATTTATTCCCAACAATTTTAAGCACTGTACAACCATATTGTAGCTGGTCTCCCTCTTCTTCTAGTTCCTTCAATTTTCGAAAAAGTAAGGTTTTTAACTAGGTCTAACTCTTCATGCCGAAAAACGTGCCCCAGCCATCTGATCCTGTAGGCCTTAATAACCCTCAAAATATTAGGTGATCAACATTTATTGTATATCTCATGATTATATAAACTTCTCCAAATATTATTTTCCCTAACTGCTCCAAAAATTTACAGAAGGATCTTTCTTTCAAAAATGAGTAGTCTATTTTCCTCTGTTTCATTAATTGCCCAAGTCTCGCTACCATATTGAATAATTGGTCTGATTAAGGTTCTGTATAGATTTACTTTTGTACCAATGGAGAGGAATTTCGATTTTAATTGGTTCCTCAGACCAAAGTAGCACTTATTAGCCATCAAAAGTCTGTTCCTAACTTCAACCCTTATCTTATTCTTGTTGGTAACAAGCGTACCCAGATACTTAAACTAGGTAACTCCTTCAAGGGTATAATCCCCAATTCTGAGTGACTGTACATGATGTACTCTAGAACTCACTACCACAAATTTTGTTTTTTCTTCGTTTACTGCTAGACCCATATCCTTGGCAGCTTTCTCAAGGGCAGTAAACGTCTCAACCTACATTGTTCGCCCAACTATATCAATGTCATCTGCGTAGGCTAGTAGTTGTATAGATCTCTGCAGAATAGTGTTGATGCCTGAATCTCTTATAACTTTTTCAAGGGCAGTATTAAATGAAATGCAAGACAGAGAGTCTCCTTGTCTAAGACCTCTCTCGGTATAGAATACTTCTGATACGTCAGACATGAGTTTAACTCTGCAGCATTTTACACTTCGTAATGTCATTTTGGCAAGATCGGTAAGTTTGGGAGAGTTTCCAAGTTCACACATCGTCTCAAATAGCTTAAGCCTGTTGATACAATCATAAGTTGCCTTAAAATCGACAAACAAGTGGTTAGTATCAATTCCGTATTCTTCTGTCTTTTCGAGGATTTGTCTAAGTTTGTGTATTTGGTTTACAGTAGATTTTACTTCCAAAAATATCACATTGATATTTTCCTATAATTTTTGCAACATATGGAAGAAGTCTATGAAATAAGATGTTGGAAAAGATCTTAAAGCCCACGTTCAAAAGTGTAATGCCTCGGTAGTTGTGACAGTCCAGCTTGTCTCCCTTTTTATGGATGATGAAAATAAAGCCCTCTTCCCATTCAATGGGCATATGTTCTTGGATCTACACATCACAAATGACCTTTAAAAGCTCATTGTTCAACTCCGGTGCATTTACATTAAAAAGTTCGGCCTTAATGCCATCTGGGTCAGGGGTTCTATTTATATTCAGTTTTTTAAGAGTATACTCCAGTTCGCACAATGTGGGTACATCATCATCTTGTATTTGCGCATGAGTATCTGATATTTCAACATCAAATTCTTCAACCGGGCCCTCTCTTTCCAAACAGCACATCTTTAAAATGTTCCCGCCATCTATTCATTGTCTCTGTATTGTTACTTCATTTATCCTTCTCAGTTCAAGAGTTAAAATTCTCTCTAATGTCATTAACCAATTGGTAAAATTTTCGTTTTCATATTCTCGATTTCCTTGCTCCATATAAATTCTCTTCTTTCTATGCATCCTTTTCTCTTCCCTTCTCAAATTCCTGTATTTTCCCACTGAACTTCGAGATGTGTCTGTCAATCATAATCTTGTAATCCTGGTCCTAGTCATTTCCTAACAATCTGTGTCATACCAGCCCTCTTACTTTTCTTATACTCTGGTATAGTCTCATTTGCGACATTGTTAATAACCGTAACAACATCACTCCATTGGCGTTTCTCGGTTTCAACACAATTTTTTCTTGTAAAACTTTCCTTTAGACAGTTCCTATATTTTTCTACGATTCCTTTAATTCATTGTAATCCAATTTTCTGCTGATCTTTGCTCTCCCTTTAGACATCACTGGAAAGTGAGTCAACTACGCACATCGATTAGACTACTTCGGTGTCTTTTATCAATCATAATATGATCTATCTGATTTAGTGTCAGGCCATCGGGTGATCTCCAAGGAAACTTGAGTATGGCTTTATGCGGAAATATAGTTCCACCAATAATTATTCTTCTGAAGCCTACGTTTTTAAATCTTTCTATGCTATTCTTTATTTTATTCTCTTTATTAAGAATTCTCTTGTTTTTTTCCAGTTGCTTTTAAGAAGTTTAGGCTATAAAATGTCGTTTCGGCTTAATTTCCTACTCTTTTGCTATCAGGAATTCTTGAGTAGTAATTTGTTCAGTGCTTACATAGATTTACATAGAATTGACTTAGTTTCTCATCAAAGAGAAATGTTAATTTATTCTTAGAGTTCTGTATCCCATTCAGTAATTTTCTTGAATCTTTTTTTTTGGATTTTTTTTTTATTTAATTTATTTACTTAACTTATCTGAAAAGTTACAGCTCATAGCTTTATTTCTTAAATCAGAAAGAATTCAATACTATGATAATTCCTGTTAGTTTTATTATGTAGTCATCAATATTTGATACGATATTTAACTAATTAAAATGTGTGTGTGTGTGTTTTTTTTTTTAAATTTCACTTTGTAAAGTAGGCAGTTTACAATAAATCTGATGAAGAGTTTTGATGACTACAGCAAAACATTAGATATAATTTTGTCCAATAGTTTTATGTGTCTACAAAGGTCAATTACAATTCAATAATAAATAAGTTCAGAACTTAATCAATAACAAAATAAGCACATAATAACAATTCGCATTTATGAAACTTGATTGCCTTACGAATTTTCTGATTTTTTAAATTAGGGGAAATTTTTAAATCTGAAAATATTATCTAGACAGCAGAAATTTTTCTGCAGAATAGTCAATATCTATCACAACTTTCAGGATTTGTAAAAATACATAGGTACATATTTTCAAAAAAATATTTATTAAATAAGCATAATCGATCAGATCATTAAATATTGAAGTTTATTTAAATTGAAGGAATAATTAATAATTTCTGTTTAACATTATTTGCTTTTCAGTTTTTTCAACATTTCAGACATGAATGAATTGTTAGAGTTAGCTTTCCTTTTCCAGCTCATTATATTTTAAATATTTTTGAGCTATACTTGTTCAGCTTTTCATTTTTCAAAATTGTTTTGAATTAAAAGTTGCTTTATAACTTGCAGCTGTTATTTATTGCCGTATTAGTTTTTGCATAGGTAATAAATTTGACTCTGATAATTTGACTTAAACTGTGAAAAAATCCACGAACTAAAAACTAAAAGATAATTCTTTTCTATTCTGATCAATGATTATTTTTTAAAAAGAAAAAATAACTATTTTTTGCAGCCTTTCATCAATTGAAAATCAGAGGACACATAAATTTTAAAAGTTAATAGAAAAACAATTTGTTTGAAGCAGCATGTTAGTTTCCGGTTGCTGAAACCATGCAGCAAGTCAGAAGGAACAGTAAGTAGTTCATCAAGTAGCTAACATTAGTAGATTATCAAAGTGCCAACAATTAGTTGTTCACCTTAGGTACAGTTTTATTTACAGATACAGTTTATTCTTAGATACAGTTTAAATACTCATTACTTTCTTTGAAATATAACTTTTTTTTAAATATGACAACGTGCAAAAGCACACATCAATTATTCAATTCAATTTGTAAAACTCAGCTTGTGAGTTATTTCGTTTCATTTCATTAAAACGAAGTTAATTTTAATAATGATTTTTTTCAATTAATCATAACTTTATATTTTATTAAAGTATTCATTAACATTAGTGGTTTAGCAGAACAGATTATTGTATTTTGAATTTTGATTATTGTTTTGTATTTTGAAGGAATTCCATTATAATAATTTCGTCAGTCCCTAACGGACTTAAACGGATCCAAAAATAATAAGAATTTCCTGTTATTTAAAAATGTCATTACTTATTTAGTTTAAGTTTTGACCTATTGCTATTACTTAATTGAAACTCTTAATCTGAAGGTTTAATATTCTGGTGATATTTTCAATTTCAATACTTTACGAGATCCTCTTTTAGTAACTAATATAAAGAGAGTTTTCTTAAAACGCAAATTTTATTTATTCAAAATAAGCTTTTCTTGTTCAAAAATTCTCTACTATCAGCAATTCCTAATGAATTGATTTTTTGCTGTTTAAAGAAATTTTGTCTAAGTTTGAAATATGTTTCAAAATGTGCATTAGTTTGAAGGCAATATGACAAACACGGTTGCATTTTTAGCTACTTCTCAATTCTACCAGTTTGGGATATTATCTTTTAATATATGAATGTATTATTTATTGTAGCCCCTTTTTAAAATGATAACTATATTCCTGAACTCACTATTTGAAATTTTATTA